TAGTCTTTTTAGTTATGCCCCTTTTGAGTTCCGATTCATGACACCTAAGCAAGGGTTACTTTGCCGTTTCTACGTATAAAAATGATATTTCCTTTCGTTTGCGCAATTCAGTTGGTTACTTCATCCTATTCCTAATTTACATATGATAATCCCAGCTAAGATTGCCAATAGTTTTGTGTACTGGTGCTGTAAGTTAGCCAACTGTTTTTCCTTGTATCTCTACCTGTTTGTGGATGGGCTTGATTGAAGGTTCATAAATCATTCAGTTTTTTCTTGTCACGACAAGCAAAACTTCCCCAGAGGGATTTTTTGTTAGTAGTAATAAAGGAAACAAGTGTCGATTTTAATTTCCAGGCTGTAAGAAAAAATATTTTATTGCTATTCTCACGTCAATAGCGCAGTGGCTAGATCACTCACCTCCCACCAATATGGCAAGGGTTAAAATCCCTCTTCGACGCCATATGTGAGTTGAGTTCGTTGTTTTTTTTTCTCTTTTGGTCCGAAAGGTTTTCTTCCAGGTACTGCGGTTTTTCCCTCTCCTCAAAATTAAATCGTTGCTTATTTTATTTAAGAAGCAATGTTAATTGGGAATGACTCTTGCATCATGCTCCGAGGAAGTATTCTGAACCCTCCTATCGCAGTGGCAATACTGTGAATAACCTCAGGCATCCTTTGTGTGAAGCTATGTCTATTCATGCTTGTTATAGGATTTTACTTTACTAGGACCAGTCTCCATCAGCTCATTCCATATTTCTTTATTTCTTCTAACGAACAAACACCAGTCGCATTTGTCAGTAAACCAGCACGACTTGGAAACTCCTAGGCTTGTCATCTGTTGAATGCACGTCGCACAGAAGCTTATTGCTCGGCGGTCTCCTTGAATAATTCCTCTGTTGATCGGTTCAATCCCTTAAGCGATGAACAATAGGTAGTTGTTGATTGCTCAGGTTGCCATAAGGGCCGCCTCATTCGTTTCTATTAAGGAATTAAATGCCTTCGATGCATCTATTGGCTATGCTGCGTCAGTAATATCGGCCACACGTCCATTATTTTGACAAGCACACTACTGTAGTGGACCACTGACGCTGATAAAGTCTTCTCTCCTCACCCTCATCACGCAATTTTAGAGTAAGGCTCACATTAGAGGCCAAGATCAAAGCCTTGCCACCAGAACTTATTGGCACCACATCATTAAAGAAGGCAGAAAATGACAGCGCGGAGTCAGTAAGAAGTACGAAAAAACTGGGAAGTGTCTGGTTTTTGGCTGCCCTGAGCTTTCCAAGACAGAGTAATTTTTAAAGCATAGCAAGGCGGCAACCTACAATCAGTGGAATCTGTGCAAGAGATACGAGATAAATGTAGCAGTCAAGTGGTATGACCATGTTCCTGGGACTATTGTGAAAAAGGACAATGTGGCCATCCATGAAACATTATCATCGATTCAGACAGAGCCATATCAGCTAAACAGCTACATATAGTTTTTAATAACAACACCTCTGACAAAGTCCTAGAAAAGCTTTCCGAGGAAAAAGAACTTGGGATAGAAATTAATAGAGGGAGGCCACTGGAAATAGAAGTTCACGGTGTTCAAAGGATCCCTTGGAGTTCAGTGCTCCTAAGGAAAAACAGTAGACTTCCCAAGAAGCACCAAGAATCCCAAAATCCAAAAGACGAAACCTCAAGGCCAGTTACTCCAAAGAGATCTCTTTTTCATAAGCTTGCAAACAAGCCATCAATTAAGTAATATTGCTTGTGTCCAATTTATGAGAATAAACTGCATATGAGTCACCAAGTGAATGAGTTACAAGTCAATAAAAAAAACTTCGAATTCTCCAAATATGCTGTCAATATCTGCTTTCTAAGTAATAACAGTACATGTAGTGACAACTCTAACCCTAACCTAAGCCCTAACCCTAAACCTAACCCTAACCCTAACCATTTCAAGTAACTGCTTAACCTTAATCAATATTGTCAGTGCTTAACCCTAATCAGTATGGGCAGTGCTTAACCCTAATCAGTATTGTCAGTGCTTAACCCTAATCAGTATTGTCAGTGCTTAACCCTAATTAGTATTGTCAGTGCTTAACCTTAATCAGTATTGTCAGTGCTTAACCCTAATCAGTATTGTCAGTGCTTAACCCTAATTAGTATTGTCAGTGCTTATATGAGTGGCTAGCCTCACCTTGGATCTAGTACAAACATATCAATGTACCAGTAATATTGCTTACTGCATGACTATATAACAGTACGTTATAAATAACCTAGGTTAAAAAAATCAACCTAGGTTAAATAAAAAATAACCTGAAATCAAATTTGACCTTTAACATATATAACTGTTCTGATTTCTACGTTTATAAGCTGCCATATGTTACATGGCTAATCAAACTTTGCTTTCTAATATGGAATTTCAGATACGCGGGACTGTAGCGCTAAAGCTCAGGAAAACCTTAATTGTATCGCGGTAGACGAAACGCCACGAAGGGCAAAACTGACGAATATTTCCAAGTCGGCTGATCATGATAAGCATCTTATGGGCGTGTGTTAATTAATGACGAAAGCTACCGCGCTCAAAAGAGTGTGCGTCAACAGTATTTAAGCGACTTAAGTATGTTTTGTTTTTAGTATGTACCTCATAGTTTGCTTAGATTGCTGTCTTGATATTACGAGCAATGTACAAAGGCCATTCAGAAAAAACATATAAAATGCTAAACGATCCACACACAGACGAAAAACTGCTCATAGAGCAAGAACCTTTTTTTACGCAAAGTCTTGCAAAGAAAAGTATTTATACACGCAATACCGCTCGCAGATGACAACACCCTCGTCGCCGCTCCAGTACCTGTAAATGCCAATGTTTTTATCTGTTGATTTTGTTAAATAACAAATGGTAAACGATTCCTATTACTAATTGTAAATTAGACACTTCAGGGTTATGCGCTTCTGAAAACACCAAGTAGACTGAAGGCTAAGGAAACTTTTCAAGTGCATCCCTTTAACTTACTTTTGTTGCGTTTTACCTTTCCCAATTTCATTTAGTAATGGGAGGCTGTTTTCGATTGGAATTTCAGGCACGTTCCCAGCTTGTAATTCGTATAGTTCGTTGACTACTTCGGATAGGCTTGTTAGTTACGCAGCTTCTTCCTCAAAATGTGACAGTGGCTTGAGAAATAAATGGTACCGCTTTGTTGAAAAGGCTGGGACATCCATGCCAGAGATCTGTCCTCCCAGACGCCGTTGCAGCGCCAATGCTCCTGGTTGGTTAAACGGAAAGCACCCAACAGTTGAAGAAGGAGAGGTAACGAGGACTGTATGCTTCCAATACGGTGCCTCATGTTGCCGCTGGAGTAAAGATGTCAAAGTTTTTAACTGCTCCGGTTTCTACGTTTATAAGCTGCCAAATGTTCCAGGGTGTTATTTGCGATACTGTGGCAAATCCCATGGTTAGTCTTTTTAGTTATGCCCCTTTTGAGTTCCGATTCATGACACCTAAGCAAGGGTTACTTTGCCGTTTCTACGTATAAAAATGATATTTCCTTTCGTTTGCGCAATTCAGTTGGTTACTTCATCCTATTCCTAATTTACATATGATAATCCCAGCTAAGATTGCCAATAGTTTTGTGTACTGGTGCTGTAAGTTAGCCAACTGTTTTTCCTTGTATCTCTACCTGTTTGTGGATGGGCTTGATTGAAGGTTCATAAATCATTCAGTTTTTTCTTGTCACGACAAGCAAAACTTCCCCAGAGGGATTTTTTGTTAGTAGTAATAAAGGAAACAAGTGTCGATTTTAATTTCCAGGCTGTAAGAAAAAATATTTTATTGCTATTCTCACGTCAATAGCGCAGTGGCTAGATCACTCACCTCCCACCAATATGGCAAGGGTTAAAATCCCTCTTCGACGCCATATGTGAGTTGAGTTCGTTGTTTTTTTTTCTCTTTTGGTCCGAAAGGTTTTCTTCCAGGTACTGCGGTTTTTCCCTCTCCTCAAAATTAAATCGTTGCTTATTTTATTTAAGAAGCAATGTTAATTGGGAATGACTCTTGCATCATGCTCCGAGGAAGTATTCTGAACCCTCCTATCGCAGTGGCAATACTGTGAATAACCTCAGGCATCCTTTGTGTGAAGCTATGTCTATTCATGCTTGTTATAGGATTTTACTTTACTAGGACCAGTCTCCATCAGCTCATTCCATATTTCTTTATTTCTTCTAACGAACAAACACCAGTCGCATTTGTCAGTAAACCAGCACGACTTGGAAACTCCTAGGCTTGTCATCTGTTGAATGCACGTCGCACAGAAGCTTATTGCTCGGCGGTCTCCTTGAATAATTCCTCTGTTGATCGGTTCAATCCCTTAAGCGATGAACAATAGGTAGTTGTTGATTGCTCAGGTTGCCATAAGGGCCGCCTCATTCGTTTCTATTAAGGAATTAAATGCCTTCGATGCATCTATTGGCTATGCTGCGTCAGTAATATCGGCCACACGTCCATTATTTTGACAAGCACACTACTGTAGTGGACCACTGACGCTGATAAAGTCTTCTCTCCTCACCCTCATCACGCAATTTTAGAGTAAGGCTCACATTAGAGGCCAAGATCAAAGCCTTGCCACCAGAACTTATTGGCACCACATCATTAAAGAAGGCAGAAAATGACAGCGCGGAGTCAGTAAGAAGTACGAAAAAACTGGGAAGTGTCTGGTTTTTGGCTGCCCTGAGCTTTCCAAGACAGAGTAATTTTTAAAGCATAGCAAGGCGGCAACCTACAATCAGTGGAATCTGTGCAAGAGATACGAGATAAATGTAGCAGTCAAGTGGTATGACCATGTTCCTGGGACTATTGTGAAAAAGGACAATGTGGCCATCCATGAAACATTATCATCGATTCAGACAGAGCCATATCAGCTAAACAGCTACATATAGTTTTTAATAACAACACCTCTGACAAAGTCCTAGAAAAGCTTTCCGAGGAAAAAGAACTTGGGATAGAAATTAATAGAGTGAGGCCACTGGAAATAGAAGTTCACGGTGTTCAAAGGATCCCTTGGAGTTCAGTGCTCCTAAGGAAAAACAGTAGACTTCCCAAGAAGCACCAAGAATCCCAAAATCCAAAAGACGAAACCTCAAGGCCAGTACACACCTTAAAGATCTCCTAAATTGACATGGGAAATATTGAAGGAAGTAAACCAAACCTATGTAAATTATTTAATAATAATAATAATTATAATAATGACAATAGTGATAATAATGACAATAGTGATAATGATGATGATGTTTACATTGATTGTGATAATGATAATAGCAAGTATTGCATTGCGCTTTGTTCCTTAATTTGGAAGAACCGGAGAATGAGAGTTTTCGATTCGAACAAAAGTCGGATTCTTTTTACCATGTGCCATGAGGACAAATTCTATTGAGATTTTCGGGTGTTGCGATTATACTATGACTAGCAACACCTTCAGGAAATACCTTGCAAAGGCGCTGTAGAGTGTTCAAAATAGTTTAACCCCGTTGAAAGGGATTTTATTGGGCTACATTGCATCTTGACCAGTTTTAGCGATCAAATGTTAACAGCAACATGCTGAAATCATTCAGGCGTTAGTTGAGAACATCGGGAAATGTGTGAAAAACTCGTGCCCACTTGTATCAAGTTGTATTGATCTGTTTTTCTTCTCATTGCTTTTGTGCTCTCTTCAATCTTACAAGAATGTCAAGTGCGAAGCGTAGAAAGTAGGGCGAATTATTTCAATGTTCATAGTATCTTTTTGGGCTCATGTTTAGCTTTTGAATCGGGAAATAATCAGTTTGTGTTTCTGTCTTCTTTTTTGCTTATGTGTGTAATACAATTAACATTGAAATTAACAAACAGACAACGGTACAAATTCCAAGAGAAAATTTAACCAAAGTATCTACGGTAGACGCCTTAAATGATTTGTTTGCTGCAAAGAAAAAACAAACAGAAAATACTAGTTGCAAATATCAGACCTCTGGAAAAAAAATTGACACAGAAAGTGTAAAATGACAAAACAACAACAACAACAAAATAAAAATGTAATAACTAAAAGTACGTAAAAGGCTAAGAAACGATAAAAGTGTATGTGCTGAAATTATTATTGTTATTTTTTTACCTTCCTCAATTTCATTTAGTAATCCGAGGTTATTTTCGATTGGAATTTCAGACACTTTTCCAGCATGTAATTCGTATAGTACGTTGACTGGTACGTGTAGGCTTGTAAGTTGCGTAACACCTTCTTCACTATGTGACAGTGACTTGAAATATAAATGGTACCGCTTTGTTAAAAACGCTGGGACATCCCTGCCAGAAATCTGTCCTCCTACACATCGTTGCAAAGCCAATGCCCCTGGTTGGTTAAACGGGAAGCATCCAACAGTTGAAGACGGAGAGGTGACGAGGACAGTTTGCTTCAACAAAGATGGCTCATGTTGCTGGCAGACAAGACAAGTCAATATTTATAACTGCTCTGGCTTCTACGTTTATAAGCTGCCACCTACTCACAGATGTTCTTTGCGATATTGTAGTACATACGATGGTTAGTGTTCTGGCTGCCTGTAATTTTTTAACCTTATATTAATTTATCTATCTCCTACAGAGCGTTTTCACATGAGGTCACGGCGGCCATATTGGTGTTTCAAAACAATGAAACAGCGGCCATTTTGGTGTTCCGAAACAATCTCGACAATCTTGTGAGAGTTGAAATCTCTTCATATGAAACGCTTTCTTTTGTTCCAATAAAGTTGCATAGCTGCTGCGGACGTGAGTAAAACGCTCTATAGGAGAATGGTAGATGGAAATATATATGATATATGATGTTTAAAACAGGAACACTACCGCTAAAGTATTTTTAACCAGTGCCAAAACACAAGCTGTGAGTGTTTCTAACGATTTAAAAAATGTCCCTGGAGTATTTCAATTAAATAGGATGGCCCTGGGATGGCTAAATAATGCATTTCCCTTTATAAAACGTGTTTATTGATAAAGTTCGCTCGAAAGCAGCCAAAATAACAGTCGGGCAGAAATAGCAATAATATTTGAATCAAAACGCCGTGAAGAAAAAAAAATCGTTAAATCCTAAAAATAAATCCTAGCATTATAACCGCTCAGAAAGAAGCCAGTTTTTCAAGCTTGAAGCATCTTAGTAAATCTGGGATAATATTGATATTTTGATACTGATGAACACAACGACAATGGTAATGATAATCATAACGATAATGATAATGATAACATTAATTTTATCATAGTTATTGGAGGAGACTGGTTATGAAAAGCGGCAAACATCAATGATAAAAACAACAGTGCTGCAGTTTATGTTGGAAGCACCCTGAAAGTGCACAATCCTTTGTTTTCTGTTGGCAAATTGTTACGGAATAAATTAATGCAACGTTTTTATTGGTCAATACAATCAAAATGATAGGAATTCTTTTGAACGTTGTGCACTTTCAGGTCCACAAAAACATATAACAAAGGAGTGTGACGGGTTTCATAGCCATTCCACTCAATTAACTATGATTTTATTGAATAATAATATGGCTACGAACTTCTTAGGACTTTCAATGTTAGCTTTACATTTTTATAGCTTTATAACCACTCAGAAGAAGCAACCTTGTGCAGCTTGAAGCACCTAAGTAAAACTGAGATTTTAATGATATTGTTCCTGATAATGACAATGACAATAGGAATGATAATGATAACGATAATGATAATGTTAAGATAACCATAATAGTATTGATTAATATGAACACAAACTTAGAACGACGTTCAATGTTACCTTTGCAATTTTATAGCAATATAACTGCTCGGAAGAAGCAAGTTTGTCAAGCTTGACGCACCTGAGAAAATCTTAGAATACCTTTCAGTATTTTCGGTCCTGATCGCAATGTATCTCTAAGCGTTTGGAAGAGCTTTTACGTGTTTTGTCTAATTTTTTGAGTTGGTTAATAATTATCATTGGGATGAGTGAAATGACAAAAGACGCCAAAGGAAACTGGTAGCTGCATATACACGAAAAGGATCGCAAGGGGAGAGACTTCCTAGTTATCTATCCTTCCGAACGGAGGATGATAACGTTGGATAAGGGCAATGGAAACCTGCTTAAATGTAAAGAGGAAGCAAAAGAACTACTTTCATCGGAGAGAGAAGAGCGATTGATGAGAAGAGGAATAGTTTCATAGGAATAATGAAAGACTTATGGGATGAGAATTCAGGCGACGTAAGTTTAGTATTATCAAGACTTACAGATCAGGCATCCAGACAGGAAAGAAAAACATTAACATGTTCAGGTTACAACTACAAAGGGAGTTATCAAAAACAGAGGGTATTGAAGAAACGATTAGCCACGTTTTAGCGAGGTTAATGGAAGCAAACCGGTTTTAATTAAATCAAAATAAAGCTAAGTGAAAGAAACAAAACAGTATTTACATGAAGCAAACCGGTTTTAATTAAATCTAAATAAGCTAAGTTAAAGAAACAAAATAGTATTTACATGAACAAGTAGCAAGAGCCCAGCTCCCGCGGAGACAGGAAGCAGATTGTGTAGATACAGCAGAGTTTGGCACACCCATCTTTGGGAACCGTGAAAACAGTCCCACAATACTACTATAATCGCCCCTTGGATAGAAGGACAGAGGAGACACTTACAAGCATGGGTATTGCAACCATAAACTACGTTATATTGTAGATAACGAGCCAGGAAAGTATTGCTAACCAGGAAATTATCCTGTTTACCTTTCGGATTGGAACCGCAAAAGCAGAACGCAGCATCGAGGTAGATGGGTTATCTATTGGGCAATATGCAAGGCAGCATAAAAGAGGAATGGCAAGGAAAGCTTGTGGAAACGAGATGGAATGAAGATGACTTAGGGAGTGACTGCTTTGCCTGGCACGAAAAACTGAGGAACACCATCGCGGGGCCACAGGAACTTTACCCTTCCACCAAAAGAGCACCATTCAACTGTTATGACATATGCCGAATGTGTTGTAGCCTAAAAAAATATGTCAAACCTTCTTGCAGAGCTAACAGCTTCCACTCACTATGAATATATGAGTATAACAGTTACTATAAATGTGTTATATGACACCGTGCTGGGCGGAAGGTTCGTTTTTGGTTGATTGAAGCCTTGGGCCCGATGTATTCCACCTTAACACAAACGAAAACCAGTCTACGAGAATCATCATGCTAAGTGTATTGCCGTCAGTCTAGGCGGAAAAAGCCATGGTTAAAGCAAAGACCTGACGCCAGAATAATTAAAAATGAAGACAAGTTGATATACTACTGGAGATAGATTTTTGTGGATAGGAAATATGGAGACAAAAGAAGGCGAAGGAATTAGACAAGTACGCTCCACTTCGCTTTTAACCAAAGAGGCACTTTCCTGGGTAAGACGTGATCCCACATGACATTATCATCGAGGTACCCCTTGGAGAAAGACTAGGAAAAATCAAAGCTTAGCAGAATGTAGAAAAGTGTCCTACAGCCTACATTTGATATTGCCAGAAATTTAACGTTTATAGGTTCCTCGAGTACGTCTCCTGAAGCAGATATTTGAAGCAGAGATTAGGAGACAGTAAATTAGGCCCGGAAAGCAAATTTTTCCCAAACAAATATCCCAGTCGCCCACCTACACCACCTTTATTTTATGAGGTTAATTGGACAGCCCTGAAATGTAATTTTACATATAAAGGCCAGTTATAAGACATGATAGTCCGCCTGGGTGCAGCCAATTTATTACACGTTGTAATTTATAGCTTGCATTCCTTTGTCTAAAAGCGAGGCCAGAGTAATAAATCAGGGCGAATTTTTTGTGTTTGACAACTTTAATTTACAAAATCTTGCCAACAAATCTGTTGGCGCGTAAACCAGCCTTTTTACTTTTTACAGATTACATCTGTGGTAAACAGTACTATGAGGCGCTACTTTTTTATCATAGAGACCTCGGACAGAATGCAGTTTTTCACAATTTTGCAAGGCAAACTGCACTCATTCAATATTCAGGACGATCGAAGCACGCGATTCCTTTGCACAGCAAATTGTAGAATTGACCTTACTATAAATCGTTTTCATGGAGACAATTCCATAATGCCGGGACTGTTCAGTCATAAAAATCTGATCCTATGTGGTATATAGGGTAATAATGGGCTTTTAGCGAAAACGTTAAAAAAATTTCCAAAATCACCTATACGGCTAGCCGGTTCTCACTTTTGGCAAGCACCAAATTTGCAGGGCGAGCTATTGTTACAAGCTTCAACATAATAAATAATTTATTGTGCTTATTTTTTATTTAATGGTTTTTTTATGCGTAGTCATTAAAAGCCTTTGATACGCGCGGTATTTTGAGTACTCCGGCAAGCGATGTTCATGTACGACTGAAAACAACCAGCAAAGCGATGTTAAAAAATTGCAAGAGACACCAATAACAATCAATAAAAGAAATAAAATTCGGTGAAACATTTGAAGAGACAACAATTTTCCTTCACGAAGACAAGTACTAAGAGTAAAGTCTCTCTGAAAATCCTGAGCTTTTAAGCATGTAAGCTTAACACCTTGCAGATTTAAGGTCATGTTTTAACCCGGCTTCCCGGTGTTTGCTATTTTTCAAGATGAACTCGAGGCAAGAAAATCGCTCAAATATTCTTCGGAACGTTTTCTTTCTATTTGCGGTAAGAAAATGTCTAATGGTTTTTTAAAGTTCTGTAAGCTTATATTAAACCTGATGCTAAGTCAGATCAAACGTGTATAAACTAGCCGTATAAACTACGCTCGACTTCATGAAACCAGAAAAAAAACCCATCAAATTCAATAATTACTCAGGCTTACTAGCTTACCAGTCGAGATGCAGCTCCTGAAAACCACCAAGTAAGGCCAGAATCCCTTGAGACTTTTTAACCCTCTTACGCATCAAGCAAGGTGAAAAACGAAAACGATGCCATCTGAAATCGGATTTCCGATGACTTGGACAAGCTGCGCATTTCTCAACCAAAAACCTAATAAACAAACCAGCCATGAATAACTGAAGAATCTTGAAAGCAGCTGTATTTCATTTTGTACATCCAGTGAAGAAAGGCATTTAAAAACATCACAAGATGACACAAAAGCCTTTCAGCTTCAGCTATCAGTAAACACGTTTCCAGATGATTCATAAATTTTTCCGCAGGAACTCAGCTCTCAAATTTTGATCAATCAGAGCCTAAATATTTGACGTAGAGCATATCCAACGCGTGACCATGGTGAAAAAAGCATTTGCCTTTCCTGCCTGTAAAAACTGTCTGAATTTTCGCATCTGAGGACAATTTGAAATCAAAATTTTAAAAGTGCGGGTCATTAACACAATTCATTGCCTCGAGCTCTGCATTTAAAAAGAATTGAACTTGAGCCTGAGATCATTTGAAAACTAGTAACTTGTCAGAGGATAACTTCAAAAAAATACTCGACCTGGGATGGGTCGATACCTGAGCCCGCGATACAGTCAGGTGATACAGGTCGTCGAATACCTTGTTTTGACAGTTTTCAATTGACATGGATGTGCAATATAAGGTTGCACCTGGGCTTCCAAACTAGTTAAAAAGTGTGAGATTAAAGAATGGTTTCCCTGTGATAAGGACGGACAGTCGGTCGATGTACGGTCACGTGATTACCAAATTTTCTTTGATGGGTAGGTTTTCTTAGCTATTTGACTCCGCCCGTGCGCCCTTCGCTATCGCGTGGAGCTCCGCTATGACACTAACTAAATTGTGTATTCTAAACCATCAATTCTAAGAAAACATGCAACTTTTATCCCACAGTTACTCCGCCAGTAGAGTGTACTCATCAAGGCTACACCAATCTCAGTGAACCCAATCGGTACTGGAGCTCTAATGATGGGGGGTCGTACTGTGATGATAGCATTGGCAATGACCAGTGGTACCGCTTTGCGGGAGCGGCTGGAGTAATGATGTCTTCCCACTGCATTCCTATGTCTTCCTGCAACACGGGAATGGCTGGCTGGCTCGATGGCGAACACCCCGCAGAACCTTACCTTTTGGTATCAAGAACCGTATGTATACACTCCGGCTCAAGCTGCTGTCATCTTAAAATATCAGTTAAGATACGTAATTGCGATGGATTTTACGTTTACCAGCTTCCGGCTCTCGCTTCTTGTAATGCTCGTTACTGCGGTGTCAATGGTAAGACTTGTCCTGAAACGGATGCTCTATTTACAGATTTCAACCTTGCTCTCTGAGTTGCAGCTTACCTTATTTAGTATTCACCAAATCAGTGCCGGGATAGCAATTTTCGCGCGTTTTGTTTTGGCACGGGATTCAAAATGGCTTGTCTTGTCGCGGCAGTTTTGAAAGATAAAATTTTAGCGGTAAATGAAGCAGCTGCACCTTCAAATACCAAGAAGGAGACAAAATGTGGCTTGTCGGTGTTTACTGGTCGGTAGAAAAACATTTTCTTCCTTAATGTGCAACAAATTCATAAAAAAATGATCCCCATAACACTGTCAACTGAAACGTAAAAAAACTCTAAGTGACGTCTTTTATTCACAAAAAGCTCCTTTTTGATTTTTATCCAACTTATATGGTAAATACTAAGACAACTATCCCCCCCAGGGTCGGTTCATAGCGCTAGATATATACCTCGACGCTTCGCGTCTCTATATTATACTATACATCTATACCACTACACACCTGCCCTTCGGGGGATAGTTGTATAATATCCACGCTTTCACCTTGCTGTTTTTAAAGTCCCAGTCTATCGGACATAGAATTGGGCAAAAGAGAATAACAGGAGAGGGAGGGAAACTCCAAGTTTAGCCTTTGGGATAAGTGACTATCACTTAAGTTATCAGGAGAGCATTTCCGGAAATACCACATCGTATAAATATGAAACTAACAGCCCCATGTACTATAATTCATAACACGCTTCTTGGTAAATTTTCTTTCCTCAACGAAAATGCGTCTGTAAACTAGACTGGATATTCCAAATACAAAAAGGCAAAGATTCAGGAGACCATTTGCAATCATTTATTTTATTTATAGTCCTAATGGCTCTGATTTACCTGTGTTTCTTAGCTTTTATTTCTTTGGGTTACTTGTTGCCTTGGAAGGTTTAAGGCAACTGGGAGAATTTTTGTTATTGCAGGGACCCCTTTGCTATTTTAAGCAATCTCGCCAGTGACTAAGGAAATTCTTGTTACCTAGAGCGGATACTAAATATCAAGATCAATTTATATTCTTAAAATTTAAATTCCCAGCTAACGCTCAGTTTCCCTCTTTGGCCCATCAACCACTCTTCCGGCTGGGTTAAAGTAAAAATTCAGCAAGGAGGTTCCACTAATTTAGCCTCGTGTGCCTCCTCGGTTATGGATTAAAATTTGACCAGAATACAACGAATACATGTATACATAGTGTAGACGAATTAATTGCTAATTTAAGATAATTTGCGTCTAAATATGTGTGGCTCTTGCAGATGTGAACGATGCCTGTTCGGCTGATCCTGGTTCCAGCACTTGTATCTGTGATCCTGGTTATGCTGGAGTGCCTTGCAGTGGTTAGTGATAAGTAGCAATCTCTTAAATCATAAATCGCAATCATTTTTTTTAGATAATAATCTGAACTCTTTTGTGTGTTTTGTCATGAACAAAACTGACTGCAATATCAGCTTTCTTTTCATTTTGCGTGAAGCTTTCAACAGTCACACAATGTAAACTTTCTGTAAGCTTCTGGTTGCAACAATTTATGTGAAAGAAATAAACGTTTTTCCAAACAAAAAGAAAAAAGCTAGTTTGTAGAACACGTCACCTTCAACTCCCACGTGACAGCTATTTTTCATTGTTAGTAAGTAGTGAAGTAAAACGGGATCCGATGAAGTGTCTATGAAATGGATCAGTACTTTAGGGTACTGCGGTATATGTTCAATTTTAAAGGTTTTTATAATGGCGCTACAATTTTAAATTGTCTAAATTTAATTTAAATAAGGAAGTCGTTTTCCTTTTTCCCTCACAGATGTCGATGAATGCCAATCTGGATCACATAACTGCAGTATTAACGCTCAATGCAACAACACTATTGGGGCATTTACCTGCACTTGCAATCAAGGATACTCAGGAAATGGGGTGGATTGCCAAGGTGAGGCTAGCCTAAGGAAATAAAAAATGAAGTGACGTTTTTGTTAAACTTTACCGATTGGTTGTTTATGTTGTAGAAACTAAAATTTTAAATTAAATTGGGGTTCCCATACTCGTTTAGGAGTAGGAGCAACTTGTATATGCACAATGGTTTTTCTTTAAAATACTAACATGATTACATTAACGAGTACTTGCTTTGAACACGTATCCGACGATTCAGATTCTTTTTGTGCATTGGGAATTAAAAAAATTAAGATTTAATTCTTTGGGGAGATATGACTTAAGGCAAAAGCCGCCATGTTTTAATGTGCGCGCTAATCACTCATGAAATTATGCGCAATTAGGATGCGCGATGCAACACTAAGAAATAACCTTAAGGCAAAGAACGAGATCTATCATTCTTAATATACTGTTCTTCTGAATTTGAAATTGTCTTCCTTAGACATCGACGAATGTGCGACATTTACCCACACTTGCCATGACAACGCTACTTGTGCTAACACTGCTGGCTCATTCACCTGTGCTTGTAACCTCGGCTTTAGTGGAGATGGACATTTATGTTCAGGTATCGCTTCTCAGTTCTTCGTCTTGAAATTTATCCAGTAGAATAGTTATGGAAATTTCTACGGCTCTATTGTTTCCTATTACTTGCTGTGCGAGATTTTATTGGTTTAGTTTTTTTAGTTGCCTCGCCCAGCGCAATATAAACGGATCTTAAGTGCTTTTTCATTGCCCGACTAACTAGATGCATGGACTGTCCAAAACGTATTGCTAACAAAAAAAAGAATATTAACAGAAAACCAAAGAAGTTCTTCCTTTTTTGCTACTTATAGATATTGAAGAATGTTTCACAAATGAAGACAATTGCAGTTTCCATGCCACTTGCAACAACACGATTGGGTCTTTTTTCTGTACATGCAATCGAGGCTACACAGGTGATGGAGTTAACTGTTCAGGTAAGAAAAAATTTTCTGGTTTCGTCAAGCCCAGTTTAAACGTACGACTACGTAAGCATCAGCTGAAAATTAGGTTGTGGTGGAGACAGGTTATGAAAGCCGGCAGACATAAAAAAGAAAACAACAGTGCCGCAGTTTTTGCTGGGAGCTCCCTGACAGTGCACAATTTATGACTGAAAAAATTAATACATTACTATCGATCAGTAAGTTCTTTCACGTGTAAAATGCTATCGCACGATGAAAATCGGAGAACATATGACACAGAAGTCTGACAGGCTTCATAGCAGTTGCACTTCATATATAAGAAAATCTGTTTTTTCCTCTCAGGCTGTTAGCGCTTCACTCATTACATTTCGACTATTGTCCAACCAATATATACTATGCGTTAGAGAGGTCACTATTTTTTGCCATTTTCACGAACTATTTGATGTCTTAAGCTAAATCGCATTCAAATTCACAGATATAGATGAATGTACGACAGGAACTCACAATTGTCACGGCGTTGCCCATTGTTACAATACTGATGGTTCCTTCACATGTAGCTGTCGGACTGGTTACACTGGAGATGGTCTGATGTGCGATCCGGAAGGTGTGTTTCCTCAGCAGTCCCCCCTCCCTTTTTTTATCCATAGCGATATTCAGATATACCTTTAAGAGATTTAGTATTATGTCGATGGGTTTGCAATGATGGTACTTCATTCTGTGATGATCATTTTGCGGTTTGTAACAGGTGACTTCTTTGTGTCTATAAGAAATATTTCTAAAGACAAGTATCACGCCACCCCTATTAAGAGAGCCGTCAAAAGCGTTCAGGAAGCCCTAATTAAAGGTTTACCAGATGGTGTTTCTATTGTGGAAAGCGTATTGCAATGGCGACTCGTAAGTGAAGCAGAGCTGGCCGCTTCAGAGTCTGCAGAAGGGTCTATAGTAAGTCGAGGAACTGCTGAGTGGATCATAAACAGAAGATCCATAACCGCGGGTATCTATCAAATCAAGTTCACTGCATCAGTCAAGATTGGTGATCCAGTCGCTCCGCAGACTCTCCAGGCGTTTGATTATGGTTTCATTGAAAGCATCCCTGGTCCAGTACTTGCAATAATTGACGGTGGGAGCAGTGTTCGATGGGGGTCTCCAGAAATTGTTACAGTTGATGGTTCACTCAGTTATGATGGAGACATTGGTCCTGGAACCCACACTGGCCTTAATTTCACTTGGTCTTGTTTATGGAATAATTCAACCAGTTTTAATTGCTTCGGTGCATTTGTGAACGAAAACGACAATGCTACGGCCATAACTATCAATACAGATAACCTCGAAGTTGGAAATGCTTATGTTCTAAAGTTGACTGTTTCCAAAGATACAAGAATGGCTTTTGCTGAAATGAACTTTGAAATAGCTGCTGGGGAAGTACCTCAAGTGGTGCTGAGGTAAGAATTATCAGTATGGAACATTTTAAGGGTGTGAGTATAATTTTTAAGCTTAAGGTCAGCTTTTGAATTAATCAAAAGGATGAGTTAAATCATGTCAGTACCAGTTTCATCTAAGGTATCTGGACAGAAATTTTATCAAGATGGCTACTATTAGCACTTTTCGTTGCTGAAATTAATGAAAACAGCTTTCCTCTTGATTTGCAACATCTTATTAAAAAGGATACTCTCTTTGTTATCTAAACAAGTCATTAACCCCTTCTTAAAGTTTAGTAAGACTTGTTTGAGTTTCTGATATATGCAAGAGTTGCCTTTAATATAAATAGATTAAGTGCCAGAGAGCGGTATTAACAAATAGAGGCCAACTGAAGTATAAGGGTATTTTGTCTTTCTGTCGACTTCTAGATGCTTTATTGATTGCGGTAAGGTAGTATCCGCTTCAAACAAGCTCCGCGTGACTTCCGAATGTCCCAATGCAGCCTGCAATGGCTCAGTTTACGAGTGGCGTCTAAAGCAAAGAAAGGAAGAGGCAGATCCGTGGGAGAATATACCTATTTTGCCCAATATGACATCCACTGCGGTAGATGCCCCTAACATGATTATCAGGAAAAATTCTTTGCCCTCTGGTTTCTACTTCAGTTTACAACTCCTCGTAACATCTCAAGCAGGTTCAGAAGGGTTTGGCGTTCTCGAGTTCGAGACCGCCGGAGTTCCACACGGTGGGTTTTGTGAGGCGTCAGCCAACGAGGGTGTGGCGCTTGAGACGGAGTTTACGTTTGAGTGCTTTGAATGGGAGGACAAAAATGCTCCGATAACATACGAATTCCGAGTAGGAAAGGACATAATATCTTATGGAAGCTCTCCAAAATCGGCCACAACAGCGTTACCCGCCGGACAGCCAGAAAACGATTTTCGGCTACTAATAAGCATCATTATAAAGAACTCTGTCGGTGTAAAGGTTGTGGAGACCATGTCTGTTAAGGTAAACTCATAAAAATGATAGCCGCGAGTTTGTGTGTATTGTACAAGTGAGAAATGCAGAAAGAATCCTAAGTTACTGTAATCATCCTAACCAGAATGCCACGGTTGTATACGTGGATTATTGTGGTTCGTTATCAAGTTGTAGGTGGTTTCATGCTCTCCTTATATGTTTCCCATAAGATAAATTCACATGTACTATTGATGACAAACTACTGCCTAATTTTGGTGCGAGGTGTCAGCGTTAATTTATGATTTCACTGTGAAAGTACAAAATTGTTATTTCAACCTTCCGGAAACCTAGACAGGCGTAACTGCGCAATCACAAACAACAAGAGATTTTTTTTTTAACGGGGTTTTTGTCTAACACTTAAGGAAATGACGAGAAATTTATACAAAATGTATGATCTAAACTTTTTAATGCTAAGAGTTCTCGATACGATAAACGAGTCAAAACCTACGATTGTGAGCGATATTGCCATCAATGATATTTCGGAATGCTCATGAAATTCGGAAATGATTTTCTGAGCTTTTAACTTTTAGAATTTCGACTAAAAGCACATAAAATTATTTCCTAATTTTACTAGGCAACATTTTATTACACATACTAAAACCATATCACATTCCTTTCGAGGTTAATGATATAATTATCTTTTTACGTTACAAGAATTCTTCTCTTTCCTTGAAAAGGTCAAGGGATCTTCCAAGTTTGACCCATGTTTCACTCCAGCTAGTGAAGTGGAAGAGCAGTTAAAAGGCTTTGTAGTCGGGGACGACAATAAGTTGGACGGATTTCTAAACAAAGGTGAAGTCAGCCAGGCCGCACAGCTGGCGCGGTCTGTGCTGAAAGCTGCCAACGCAAAACCACTTTGTGGACAAGGATTGAGTTCGCTTACAAAGATACTTGTACGTACGTTTTACATCATAAGGGTGACTCATGGTTGAACTAGGTAGCCATTCCTTTTGTTTTCGTATCATACACTTTCAGTAAGACTATAGAATGTACTTCAATGAATGTCAATGCTAATTTTGTGTTATACTGTATTGCCTTTTTGCTATACGTGCCATCCATTCGGTTTTTAGGAGGCAAAAGAAAATGTGGTGAATAAGGCAATAATGCCGGACTTGAAAATTTAAAATCTTTTTACGGGCAAAAATGTGTTTATCTAGACGTGTCTACAAAGACACCATTTATCTTTTCAGAATTCAGTCGTAAATTGAACCCCTTTTGAATGTCAGTAGATGTTGCAAGGCGTGATATTTTTAGTGCAGGTTCAACGTGTTTGTGCTCCCTAACCAAAATACGAGGTAAAATCAAAGCCACCGCACTTGGTGTTTCCTCAATGAGACGAGTATTAGTTGCCAAGATACTTTTGATAAAGGTGTATTATTATATGCAAAGAGTTTAGCATGAAGGCATGAGGCATGAAGCAACAGACATGGGAATAAGTCGATGGGATGAGCTTTTATTTGACGGTTTTGGCTATATCATTTAATGCTAATATTACATTGATCTACTCAGATCTCAACCATAATAACGGAGAAGTTCTCAGCGATAAAACCGGAGAGTAACAAGATGACTGATGTGATTATGGGTGTCATCAACGAGGCAACTGGAGGAGGAGGAGATGGGGCGAACTATATGGTATCAAAATATTCTGTTTAATGCTTGTCTAATTATCTTATCTCTTACATCGTTCCATCATTATCCATTAACCAATCCATCGTTATCCCTGACCCCTTTCCTTTGTCATAGCAGCTAGTAATACACATGGAGAGCAGGAGACGCGCTAGGAGAAGACAAACAAAGGCGATTAGCCATTTTAATGATGTGAGCTCCTTGTTGTTTTCTACCCCAGTGCGTCCCTTACTCTTCAGAACGGTGGTTTTGTACCACGTGAATGAGAAGCTGTAAAGGGGCTATTGCCCAAACAACGACTATATTAAGTTTTTCAAAATAACTATTTTGGCGTCTTCAAGTGTAAGATGTCACTCGTAAAATTTAAGATCAAGTATTCCCTTCCAAATGCTGTTGAATGGTAGATAATTGGGTCTTTCATCCATTCTTTTTGATTGATTGGCTGATTGTTGGTTGCTTTATTGTTTCTTCATTGTCTTGACATGCTAAAGTGATTCCTATTCTGTTCTTATGTACATTCTTCGGACATTTTCTTATATTGAAGTTGATAAATAACTTTCTCTCTCGCAATTATTCTTTCCTTCCTTCCTTCCGAGTGAATAAGCGAAATGGTGAGGCAAATAATAATAATAATAATAATAATAATAATAATAATAATAATAATAACAATAATAATAACACAATAATACTACTACTAATAATAATTTTATTGAAGTTTAAAAAAAATATGTACATAATTTACAGAAATATTTGAAGTAAGAATTAAGCACTATATAGCATTAAGAATTATATAAATCATAGAAATAGCAATCACTGTGTCATTAACGATTTCGCAAATACATTCCTTGCGGCTCAGACTCGGTCAATGACTGTTGCAGGCAGTCCAGATATTAAATTAAGTAATTACAGAAGAGAATTATCCGTCTCTGATATTAAAAAGAAAACAAGTTAAAAAGAATAAAATCTCGCATTCCTAAATTCCTAATTCTTTATAAAAAAAGATCCTTGAAAAGATTAATTCGGGCGATCTGTAGGTCTGAGTCAACAAAGTCTAGCTGTCTTCTTCTGGATCTCTAGCCTCTCAAGCATAGAGTCGCAGAGCGTACGATGGCGAAAGGTACTTTAGCTCTTATCCAGGAAATTGCGCTTGATTAACTTTCTCACATCTTATTTGCGATCAGCTCCGCAAGTCTGCTGTGGTACTTAACACACTCATCCGCCTTTCCACCTGTGGTCGTGAAAACTAGGGGAGTGAACGTTCCCTGTTCGATCTCCATTACTCTTTCCGCATACTGTCTCTTCTTCTCGTTCTCATGCTTCTTGTAGATCTGCTTAGGAGTCACGTCTCTGTAAGAGTCTGCATTAGGGTGACACACCGGAACGTGAAAGAATGCAGATCTCTGTCTCTCCCAAATAATAATAATAATAATAATAATAATAATAATAATAATAATAATAATAATAATAATAATAATAATAATAATAATAATAATAATAATAATAATAATAATAATAATAATAATAGAATAGGTCGCCAACTGCAAAGTGTTCATGAAGGTGCCAGCCTTCATACTTTGTCATAAAATGACCCATTCGAGTGACAAGCTAACCTTAGAAACCACCCACGGATGGTAGGAAAAACATATTCCCGCACGAAGATATACTTTATCAATTGTTTGTCATTGTTTTCAGGACATGGCCCTAAAAATGTCCGATACTGCAACAACAGCACTTGCCGATACCTTGGGCGACCCGGAGGAGCCTTTCACTCCTGAATTAGAGGAAACAGCTACAGGTGTCGCAGGTTGTTTAAGGAACGTAATGAAAGGTGCAAGTCAAGGGGCTGGATCAAGTTCATCTTCGAAGGTAGGTTTAAATTGGAAAGTTATGTGTGCACGTGTTTATGGAGTCTCTAGAGGACATTTTCTATAAAGGAGGACTCTGGTTAAAAGCGTTGGTTTTCGTTTATATATTTTCGTTTATTTATTATTTAAAATAATTAGTAGACAAATACCACATAGGCCACCACCACAACAACCTCTGATCTCATTAGCGGACTAACTGGTTTATGTGTATACATTTCCTGCCCTAATCTATTTCCTTCCCAATTCAACATCATTTTCCCCAAAGAACACCCAGACTGCCCCCTTACAGGCTTTTACCTGACACCAATATGACCTTTCTCTCAAATGGGATTACCAAACGGTAGCAGTCAATGAGTGCACTTCAATATGCAAGCGATAATTATTAAATCGAGACAAGTATTTATACTCTTTTATTTTCAGAATAGCGTTGAAAAGGCTTCTCAAAACCTGCAAAACATGAGTGATGCCTTTTTTGGTCGCTTAGTACGGTCCGAAAATCTTGTTATTAAAACAGATGATCTCGCGTTGGCTCTAAAGAAGGTCTCACCTGACGATATTAAGGGTTTGAGCATGGAAGAAGGACCAACGAAATTCAAGTTGCCAGGAAATCTTGGAAATATGGGTAGTGGTGACATTAATGCAAAGGTACTAAGGGAAGAAGAAACTGTTTTCCTTTAGAGGGGAGAAGTGTGACGTCACGTTACCATGGTAGTAAAGTTTCTGGATCTCGACTGAATCCTTCTTGGCAGAGACAGCCAATTGTGTCTCCGAATGATGGAAGAAAAGTATGGGCTACCGTTTTGCTCCTGAGTACAATCATGCTCAGGAAAGTCACAGATTTCAACTTTTCGTTTTTTCTGCTATATTTGCGGGACCACTATTTATTGAGATCCAGAAATTTTGCTACTATAGCAACGTGACGAAACAAAATTCTCTCTATTGTAAAAAAATACTTGCCCCTTTGCCCCTTCTTTGATAGGTTCTCTTTTGTGTTTAATTTATACGTCTTTATACATGCAGGTTCATATGTTGTTCAACAGCTGAAGACATGAGAATAATTCTAAATCAGACACAAAAAACGTTTTTATCGATCCATGACCCCAGTTTACCAAATTAACAATCAGGTTTGTCAGTAAGGTGTAATCGCAATTGTTTTTTTCTTGTTGTGTTGCTGACGATAATTGTCCGGTGATGATGGTCGGCAACCAGAAGATTAAACTAAATGGAGTACAAACGTTGAGGTCGGTACAATAGACCATTTCTTGATACGCAAAGAATGTTAACCATTGTACATCTTCATTTTGTCACAATTGCAGATGTCAGCTCTTACTTTCAATCCTTATAGCTGGAACAACAGCAGCAAGGCGATTCAATCGAATGTTATTGGCCTTGAGTTACAAAATGGCAACACGAAGNCATGCTTCTTGTAGATCTGCTTAGGAGTCACGTCTCTGTAAGAGTCTGCATTAGGGTGACACACCGGAACGTGAAAGAATGCAGATCTCTGTCTCTCCCAAATAATAATAATAATAATAATAATAATAATAATAATAATAATAATAATAATAATAATAATAATAATAATAATAATAATAATAATAATAATAATAATAATAATAATAATAATAGAATAGGTCGCCAACTGCAAAGTGTTCATGAAGGTGCCAGCCTTCATACTTTGTCATAAAATGACCCATTCGAGTGACAAGCTAACCTTAGAAACCACCCACGGATGGTAGGAAAAACATATTCCCGCACGAAGATATACTTTATCAATTGTTTGTCATTGTTTTCAGGACATGGCCCTAAAAATGTCCGATACTGCAACAACAGCACTTGCCGATACCTTGGGCGACCCGGAGGAGCCTTTCACTCCTGAATTAGAGGAAACAGCTACAGGTGTCGCAGGTTGTTTAAGGAACGTAATGAAAGGTGCAAGTCAAGGGGCTGGATCAAGTTCATCTTCGAAGGTAGGTTTAAATTGGAAAGTTATGTGTGCACGTGTTTATGGAGTCTCTAGAGGACATTTTCTATAAAGGAGGACTCTGGTTAAAAGCGTTGGTTTTCGTTTATATATTTTCGTTTATTTATTATTTAAAATAATTAGTAGACAAATACCACATAGGCCACCACCACAACAACCTCTGATCTCATTAGCGGACTAACTGGTTTATGTGTATACATTTCCTGCCCTAATCTATTTCCTTCCCAATTCAACATCATTTTCCCCAAAGAACACCCAGACTGCCCCCTTACAGGCTTTTACCTGACACCAATATGACCTTTCTCTCAAATGGGATTACCAAACGGTAGCAGTCAATGAGTGCACTTCAATATGCAAGCGATAATTATTAAATCGAGACAAGTATTTATACTCTTTTATTTTCAGAATAGCGTTGAAAAGGCTTCTCAAAACCTGCAAAACATGAGTGATGCCTTTTTTGGTCGCTTAGTACGGTCCGAAAATCTTGTTATTAAAACAGATGATCTCGCGTTGGCTCTAAAGAAGGTCTCACCTGACGATATTAAGGGTTTGAGCATGGAAGAAGGACCAACGAAATTCAAGTTGCCAGGAAATCTTGGAAATATGGGTAGTGGTGACATTAATGCAAAGGTACTAAGGGAAGAAGAAACTGTTTTCCTTTAGAGGGGAGAAGTGTGACGTCACGTTACCATGGTAGTAAAGTTTCTGGATCTCGACTGAATCCTTCTTGGCAGAGACAGCCAATTGTGTCTCCGAATGATGGAAGAAAAGTATGGGCTACCGTTTTGCTCCTGAGTACAATCATGCTCAGGAAAGTCACAGATTTCAACTTTTCGTTTTTTCTGCTATATTTGCGGGACCACTATTTATTGAGATCCAGAAATTTTGCTACTATAGCAACGTGACGAAACAAAATTCTCTCTATTGTAAAAAAATACTTGCCCCTTTGCCCCTTCTTTGATAGGTTCTCTTTTGTGTTTAATTTATACGTCTTTATACATGCAGGTTCATATGTTGTTCAACAGCTGAAGACATGAGAATAATTCTAAATCAGACACAAAAAACGTTTTTATCGATCCATGACCCCAGTTTACCAAATTAACAATCAGGTTTGTCAGTAAGGTGTAATCGCAATTGTTTTTTTCTTGTTGTGTTGCTGACGATAATTGTCCGGTGATGATGGTCGGCAACCAGAAGATTAAACTAAATGGAGTACAAACGTTGAGGTCGGTACAATAGACCATTTCTTGATACGCAAAGAATGTTAACCATTGTACATCTTCATTTTGTCACAATTGCAGATGTCAGCTCTTACTTTCAATCCTTATAGCTGGAACAACAGCAGCAAGGCGATTCAATCGAATGTTATTGGCCTTGAGTTACAAAATGGCAACACGAAGGTCAATGTGTCAAACCTTGATGATGATATTGTGATGGTCATTCCAATTAGCAGCCCAGCCGAGCAAAAAACCAATACTAGTAGTCCGAGTAAACATTCTTTTCTAAAGTTAGACAAAATGTCAATCCGTTCTTATAATGCACAACTAGCAGATGTCCCTGTTTCAATTAAGATGGCTGTGATAGAAGAGGGCTTATTTACAGTTAACCTATTTGTGAAGTTTGGATCCAGACCGACAATAAGTAGCTTTGACCACAACTTTACAGTTACTTTCAAGTCAATGTGTGGAAACCAGACAAACAAGAACCATAACCTCACATCCTGCCTTCCTGACGAGTCCTCCATAACAGTGGTACCACCAAACGAAGGTCCTCTTTTTGTCGGACTACTTCTTTTGAATAAAAGCAGCGGTGAAAACTCTAGACAAAGGAGATCATGCTTCGGCCACGGTCGACAAAAGCGCTCCTGCGTTGGCGTCAAGGACCCACCACCAAAAGGAGTCACTCAAACAGTCATTCCGCAGTACGATTCATCTACAGATGTTAACTATACAATGACAATCACCCAGTCAAGCTGCTTGTACTGGTCAGAAGATGAAGACAAATGGACATCAGATGGCTGCAAGGTAACATAACTAAATATAATAACAAAAGGTACAATAGCCCACTCCCCCCAGGACTTTGTTAGTCTGCTTGTATCGCAGTATACATTTAGAACGTCCAGTTAATGTGGATGTGAATTGACTCAATTCAAAGAAGAGACTCTAGAGCACTAGAGCAAAGGCATCACTTTCTCGTCGGATATTTATTGGTCTTGCCGGTAATTGAACCAGGGGTCAATTTAATGAAACTTTTACAAGGGTAATTTATAAGTGTAGCCATTGTTTTAGGGTCTCAAAACAATAGCCACACTTGTAAATTACACTTGTAGAAGTTTTATTAAATTGACCCTAGGCCGTAGCCCTCCAGAGTCTGACACTAAACAAATTCAGGTAATAATCGTCGGTCATCGCCATGCTTAAGGTGGCTAGACCGGATTTGTTTGGGGGATACCTCTCTTTACCACGTCGGCATTAACAAAGATATCAGGAAAACTAGGTTACCACAAAAAAGAAAATGTCTGCAGCGTCACCTTTTCATCATTTAAAACGCAGAAATTAATAGCTATGTAATAGTTTATTTGCATTTATGTTTCCTTTCTGCAATACCTGTTCTTATTCACCTTATTTTCATTGGTACGGAGACTCCTCAACATGACCGGAAAGTGTTCGAGGGTCCTTTTGAATGCAAATTTTTTGCTTAAGTCAGGGAACGTGCATATGAAACTTCAACATAATGGCAGTGAATAGTAATACGGATGCTCAATGTAGACACAAAATCTGGGGGAAAAACTTGTGACTTTTGAAGCCCCCATTTTCGAGTTCCTCCGGGCCTCCGTATCAAAACGATCGAGGTTAGGTGCTCAGCCTTTGATATGGAAATAGTTTTCATTCTCATAGAAATAAAACTCATTTCAACAAGAAAGGTTGTGCACTTGGCATCATTTTGAAAGTGAGGGTTTTTGCACTTGGACTTGGACTTGAACTTGGAAGTGGCCTATTGCCTTCCTTGTTTTCAATGTCTTTGGAATCTGGAGGCGCTGTAAATTAAAGATTAGTCTCAGTCGGGATTGTCGAGATTTTTTTAAAAAAATTACCAAGCGGTTTTTACACCCAACGAAGGCTAATCAAGTTATTTTTTCTCCCAATTGGCCAAAGCAATCCCTCTCTTTTTTCGTACACAGAATCAAACCACTATGAGATGAAACTACATTTCCAGACCTCATCATTTGCTTCAAATATAAGCCAGTTATGTCGATAGCATGCACTGTTTTGTGACCCTTAAACTTTGTTTTAAATATTTTCAAAACGCTCTCCTAGAATCTGTTCAAAATTTGCCATAATCCAGGCAACTAAGGGATGTACAAGCTCCCTTGAGCGATTTCTGAAAAAAATTCCTGGTAGCAAAAAATACAAACGCAAGAAAATAACGTAATGGCGTCATTACATTGCTATGGAAGGTCTGTTGGGGTCACATGAAAGAGACTTGGCGCAACATAATGTACATGTAACAGGACATTCCCCCATTGTAGAAAGGACACTTAAGTTTCAGCCTTTGCTTCTTTTACAGGTTGCACCTGAGTCAAACACAACTCACCTTGTGTGTCGTTGCAATCACCTGACGTCCTTTGGTGGGAACTTCATACAAGCCCCGAATCCAATAGACTTTGACAAAGTTTTCACTGAGTTTGCAAACCTTGCTGAGAGTGGCAACATTTCAGTACTGGTGACCATCGCTTGTGCCTTTCTTCTTTATTTTGTTGTTCTCGTTTTTGCAAGGAGAGCAGATAAAAGGGACGACGACAAGGTAAGCACAAACTGAAACATCGTTACTTTGTACGAAAAACTTTCCCTTTACCTTCAGCCTAACAGGATATCTGCTCGTAAATTCTTTAACTAGGCCTTGCCGAGTCAGGTACGTGGTGCACTACATTTGAAGTGTTAATGACAGAGTAACAGTAAGGAGTATCATGACCGCTTTAGTTGTTGGGGACCCATGTTAGTCATTGGGCGAGTTTGCGACAAGCCAAAAAGATAGAGTGACTTTACTAGCAGAATTAGGTCATCGTTGTCTAGCAATCACAGGCAATATAACTTAGTCTTAAAAGGCTTTTGTAAGTTCCTTTCCTTAATTTGACATTGATCCGTCCTCAGTCTCGTTATATTGACCCGTAAAACCTGCGGAAGAGTCTAAGACTGAATTCATATCGGTATTAGAAGTTAATTTGAGGCTTTACATAAATCGAACCTTTTATGGCTTTTTGTCTTGCTGATGGATTGTGTTACGTTTTGGTTTGCCACAGATCTGTCCTCCTAAACATGTCACTATATATGAAGAAGGAACGTATTATTACGACATGGCTATTAGCACAGGTGTTTGGAAAAACTCAGGGACAACAGCAAACGTTGAAATAAGCATTAAAAGCGAAATAAACGAACATAGCCACGTTCCACTGCGAAGTAAAGGCGACTGGTGCGAAATATTTTCCCGGGGAAGTATAAATGGATTTGTTCTTATCACTAAAGAATCATTGGGAAAATTAACGGAAATAACGTTAGAGCATGATAATACGGGAGACAATCCATCTTGGTTTGTAGAAGCAGTAACAATCAGAGACAGGCAGACAGAGGAAACTTGGAGTTTTCCTGTAAATAGATGGCTTGCAGTGGAGAAAGATGACGGTCTTATAGAAGTTACTGTAAACAACAGAAGCTTTGTTCCTTTCTCAAGTCTGGTTACCTCACGTTTTGGAAGAAAAATCGCAGACAGTCACTTGTGGATGTCCGTGTTTGGTAAAGCCTGTAGCAACACTTTCACACGTGTACAGAGAGCTTCATGCTGCCTGTCTGTTCTCTTCAGCGCAATGATTGCCAATGCAATGTTTTATAACATTGGTGGAGAATCAGAGGAAGCCATCCAGGTTGGACCGTTTAAGTTCTCCTTGAGACAGATCATTGTTGGAGTACAAAGCGGGCTAATAGTTGCACCTGTCAACATCTTAATTGTTTTCCTATTCAAGAGCAGCAAACCGAGAGGTAAAAAGGGGGATAAATATAAAGAAATTGACCACGCTCAACAACTGGTTAACAAAGTTAGCGAAACTGGCTGTATGTTACCCCACTTCTGTGTGTACTTTGCATGGTTTCTCTGCTTTACCACGACTCTGGCAGCTGCCGCGTTCACGTTATTTTACAGCTTAATGTGGGGGAAAGAAGTTGCCGAACAATGGCTGTCTTCCATTTTGATTTCAAATGGTCAAGACATTTTTGTTGTACAGCCAACCAAGGTTATGCTGGCGGTAGTGGTTGTTTCGCTTCTCCTAACTAGAAAGAAAGACCAAGATTATGAATGCGAAGAAACAAGTTCGGGAAGTGACACTGAATCTCTGATTGACGATCCTAAAGAGCGATTCAAGCGATCTAGATTAGACGCCATTCGGAAGCGAACTAAAAAAGAAGTCCAATTAGCAGGCATAACGAAGGGAATTGTCATCCATTTAACTTTTGTGTTTTTCTTGGCTGTAGTTTGCTATGGTAATAAGAACAGTTACCGCTTTATGATGTCCACGACACTGATGAATCCATTTGGGAAGTTTGAATGGGTAGGAATTTGTTACACAGTTTGAAATACTTCGTATGAGCACTCAAGCTCGCCATTAATTGAACTTCTAGCTATATTCACGCTGACGTCACCTATCGATACTAATGTGCCAACCAGAATTGAAGCGTTTTGGTTCATGAAACAAGAGAGTCTCTTGTTTCACTCGTTAAACATTTAAATAACAAGAACAGTGTTTGTCGAACAGTGATGTCTCCAAGAAACTGTCCTTTACCTAAAGAAAAAGTATTCTCAGTGGGATAAAAGAGTCTAATTTATTAAATATTTCTGATTTTCCTCATCCCTTTTTAGACATCTGAAATTATATTGCGGGAGGATAGGATCTAGAAACGTCGCGACTTAAATTCAGTTTGCTTTCTTGCTGACTGCGGGCGAACTTATTTTAATTACGACATGGACAGCCTTGAAAAATTTAAAGGACACTTCGTTTTTAATAAAGCAAAATATATTTCAATTATGCAGGTTACTGACGAGAACAAATTACGTGTTTGGTTAGAAAAGGAGTTCCTTCCAAATATATACAGTCAGCCGTGGTACAACGGAGTCAAGGAAAAAGAGGACGTGTACATTGAGAATAAAGCGTCCCTGCTGATTGGCATGCCATGGATGCGACAACTTCGGATACAAAAGGGTAATTATTTTTTCTCTTTTTTCCCTTTCTTTCACGGATTATACTTAAACATCATTCTTAACAACCTGTTTTCCCCAAGCATTAAATGACTAGGTGTTACATTTGTATGTGGATTCAACTGACGATAGGTTAGGTCAGATCTCGAAGTAGTAATCCTGGGCTCAATTCCGGGCATTATCAACAGTTCTTCAGCACAGTTCTTGCCTATCCCCACCAGGCATTTCAGTGTTCCGTAAGACTAATAAAGTATTCACAATGGCTGAAAGCAAAAACCTTGTGACGTAATTTGTTTAACTTTAAGGTTCCTGCGAGTCCCTTCCTCAGTTTATTTCAGACTGCTACTACGACTACTCCAGCGAAAGAGAGGATACCACACCTCTGAGTCTTCCAGCCTGGAAACCACTTCCCTACAATACGTCGTGGCCTAAGGCTCTAACATTGTGTCCAAAACCTTGGCGTTATCAAACAGGCGAAGAACTGGACAACGGTCCAATCAAAGCCATGTATAGCACTTACGAAGGAGGTGGCTATGTTGCTGTCATGGGATATGACGAAGAAACTGCCCAAGGTGTCCTTGGCGAAACCTTTGGGCATGGATGGGTTGATCGCCAAACGCGAGCGGTGATCTTGGAGTTTGCAGTATTTAACATTAACACTAATCTTCTAAGCGTCGCCACGTACTTTTATGAAGTTATCGCCACTGGTGCTGCTTACACTAATAGAAGGGTTGACACGCTGGAGTTGTACACAACGGATTCAGGATCCGTCATGTTCTACCTCATTTGCCAGTTTCTTTTCATGGCCATGGTACTTTATTACCTGATCATAATGCTTTTTCACCTTTACAAACAACGGCTAGGATTTTTAAAGTCAGTTTGGAATATGGTGGATTTCTTAATGATCATATCCTCTGTAACGTCAGTAGCATTTTATATGATCAAAGCGAAGGCTATTCTGCAGAGCATAAAAGCCATCCAAGATAATCCATATGACATTATACACTTTCATGTGGCATTAGACTGGGCTAACTGGGAAAATGCCGCAGTGGCCCTTGCCATTTTCATGGTGACAGTTAAGCTATTGAATTTGATTCGTTTTAACCCATATGTAATTTACTTGTTTTCATCTTTCCGTCAATCTGTAAGCTACCAACTGTCGTACGTGCTTTTCTTCTTGATCGTCTTTAACGCGTTTGTTGCATCAGGGAAGCAGTTTTTTGGCCGTACAATCTACGCATACTCAAGCTATCTCTAAGCCGTCATTTCGCAGTTTGAATTCCTGTTGGGAGCAGCTGTTCCTACTGATGAGCTTCGAAATGATAAGCCATTCATTGGGCCTACGTTTACTTTCTTATACGTGTTATCAATGACAATTTTTCTTATGAATATGTTAGTTTCTGTGCTTAACGAGTCCTATGCTGACGCCAAAACGCGCGCAGAGGAAAGTGCGGAGGAGCTTGAAATGGCACGCTTTATTGGGGAACGATTCGAGGAAGTTCTAAAAGGGAACAAAAAGCGGCCCGAATTTAAATTATATTTTGATGACGCAACGTTCATGAACATATGTCAGTCAGAAGCAGAGCCCTTCTGTTTAAATTCTGAAAGTATTCTGCAGTGTACAGAGAGCAGAATGGAAAAAGTTGAAAAGCGACTTGCTGCACTGACTCGACGAGCTGGAAAAATAGACTCTGAGGCAGAAAGAGAGGAAGCTGAATTTATGTTTCTCCTTAATTCCATGGGAAACCATCATGAAACTAATATACATAGTATGTAATCTTATTTTTGTCTGCTGGCAAACTTCCAGCCAGCTTAATTGAAGCGGCTCGTACCTTTTCAGTGTGTTTATTTAACTTTCTGAAACTTTTCATGGTAAGGGTGTCATTCTGGCTACCTTAGATGACACCACTACTGTATATGATTAACGACAACTTAATGACTTGGAAATGGCTTTCGCTGACTATGTGTCAGTATCCTGAGCCATGTTAGGAGTGCCGTGAAAAGAAATGCAGCAATACATGTATAAATTACAATAATTTTTCCGTTGTTTGAAGACTGGATAGTCGCCTGGAGCAGTCTGCTACAAACAGCACCTAGCACCTACAAAGTGGGTCTGTTGCAGGATAATCACACGGTGAACACGCTCTTCCAAATCCTGCCGAATCTTTCTAGAGAACTCTCCTATCACATGGCTAAAAATGCTTCTCTCTGTCTTTATTTATTAGGTTTTAAGCTCTTTTTTTAAAATCACATTTCAGTAAATTCTCTAACATTCATAACTACTTTACAAAGCATAGTATTAGGCTACCCCTACCAAAGGTTAAACTATATTATTAGCGCGAGAGAAGGAACTTTCCTTTAAGTCAATGAACTCCCGTTAAATATAGTAATCGCTGGAGGCACAGAGAATTTCTGCCATCAAGCAAGACAGTTTTTGTCATAAGAATTTTTAACGACGTTTCCTTGATATTTTTGTTATAATTTAGATTTTTTAAATGTAACTTTAAATCCCTAATGTAAAGATTATTTTCAACACGCAGGGTCCATAATATTTATACGAGCCTTGGAGCTGAATTGGTCACCCTGTTTAAATGAAGTTTTCCTTTACTTTAACTACAATAAAATAAAGTATAAACGTTCGTCTCTCTTTTAAGATAGATCGCAACGTTTCTACTGCTTACTGCTGGTCGATCTTCATCAGGTTTTTAGGTCGAGCACAATACTCCGTTTGAATAGTTGGTTTCAACAGCTGGAATTGATGGATTCAGAGCTTTTCTGTTTGTACGAGATTTTTCTGGAAGGTCCGATTTTGTTCGGCTATCCAGTTATGTTTCTTGATCTTGGGCATCCCCGTTTCTGGAATGCAAGTGTTATTTGAATCGTTTCTTTCAGCCTGCGTGTGTTCCAATGAAGATCAAGATCAACATGTTCCCTTATGTTAGACATGGTTTGTAACATCTATACAATAGCAAGCAAAACACACTGCAACATAACATTCAAGTATTTTAAATATGAAGAGCTATACATGACTCGCTTAGAATACCCGCAGATCCCATGCAAACAGCGTTTCTCGAGGCTAATTAAGCTTGTTTAGTACTATGTCTTGGCCATTTCTGCTGGTATTATACACAAATAGAAATAACTAACCTGCTTAATGTCCCCTCACTTTCTAAGATCATATTTATACATTTCCATCCGTTGTGGTGGTAGACTAATAGACCTAAAACACCATCCAGTGTTTTCTCGGGCAGCTTTCTACTAAGGTAAAAAATAACAAGTGACAACCGAAATGTTCCTTGGGCGTGAAAACAGTTATTTCAATAGGCTATCCTTTATTTTTTTGCGTGTAGTAAATACTATAGTTTTATGTAGTCGATATCCGCGGAACTCTTAGGTGTCCGACAATAAGTATCGACCATATGATTTGCCCTTCATTACCAAGGAATAAATTTCCATTAGCGTCAAAAAAGAAAGTCAATAACATGAGTGTGAAATCATTGCACAAATAAAAAGGCGTTCATACGTACGTTCATACGTAACCAAATTTTCAATAGGATCCTGGTAAGGTTTCCGATAGGTTCCTGGTTTTCAACTTCAAAAGCAATCGAGGTTCCGCCTTAAAAGTGTCGATTTACATAGTCGACAGAAAGGATGTTTCCTAGGGTGTTAGCCAATGAAATATAGATTTCAAACGGTTGCAAAAACGTACATTTTCGAAGGATATTAACCAATAATTGTAGTCAATACAAATTGAATTTTCTTTCTAAGATGTTTTATAGTTGAAAGCAGGCTTAAAACCAGAGTTTGGTGATGTCTTAGGTAAAAAAACAGTCTTTTCTAGATTATAAAAATATCGATTACAAATAGTCAAAAAAAGTTGAAAATTGTTTAATATGTTTGAGAACAAAATGGGCTTAGAAATAAGGTTTGGTGGTGGTGTTGATAAAAAACCTTCCTTTGAAATGGACCCAAAACATACATTTTTCAACATGTTAACCAATGATTCTAGTAAAAAATCTGAATTGTCTTCATTTTATGTTATAAAGCAAGATAGAAAACAGACGTTTGTAAACTATAAAAACAGCTTTTTTAAATGGTCCCCAAATAACACATTTTTCTAAGAGGTTAACCCATAATTTTGGTCAAAATATGAAATTTTCTATATTTTATGTTAAAGAGGAAAATATGCATAGAAACTAAGGTTGGGTGATGTTCTTGATAGAAAACAGGCATTTCGGGACTATAAAAATCTCTTGCAAATGGTTGCGAAATCGGACATTTTCCATAAGGGTTAACCCATGACTTTGGTCAAAAATTTAGAAAACAGGCGTTTTAAGAGTATAAAAATAACTTTTTAAAATAGTCGCAAAATCGGACATTTTCCAAAGGGTTTTGACCAAAACCACGGACTAATTCCCTCGCAAAAAAAATAATTTTTTTCAACTTTCTAATATCAATGTTTTTGTTGTTTAGAAAAAGTTTTTTCCATCGAGAATATCACTAAACACTTTTTGATCAATTTAGCCCAAAAAAGTCAAAGTGAAGAAACCTCCAATTTTTCACCAAAATCATGGACCAGCCCCTTTGCAAAAAAAGCAATGTTTGCAACTTTCAAATATCAATGTATTTGTTGTCAAAAAAGCTTTTTTTCTGTCAAAATATGTCGCCAAACCCTTTTTACGATCAATTTGGGATAAAAAAGTCACAGGGAAGAAATTTCAAATCTCAGACCAAAGTTATGGACTAACTCCCTTTCCAAAAATGCAAATTTTACAATTTTTTAACATAAATTTAATGTTTCTGTAGTCTAGAGAAGCTATATTTCTGTTAACAATTTCACCAAATACTCTTTTTGATCAATTTATACGAGAAAAGTCAAATTGAAGAAACTTAAAATTTTTGACCGAAATCATGGACTAACCCTTTTGCAAAAAAATGCAACTTTTCCACTTTCTAATATCAACGTTTTTGTAGTCTAGAAAAGTTTTTTTGTATCAAGAATGTCGCAAAAGACTCCTTTTAACCTAAATGAACGCGAAAAGTCAAAGTGAAGCAAGAACAAATTTTTCACCAAAATCATGAACTAGCCTTCTGGAAAAAACGAAAAATTTTTTAACTTTCTAATATCAACAATTTTGTAGTTTCGAATATTTATTTTTCTATCAAGAATGTCGCCGAACACTCTTTTTGAATTGAGTGGAGGAAAAAGAAGGTAAAGAAAAGTAAAATTTTCGACCAAAATGATGGACTAACCGCTTTATAAAAAATACATATTTTGCAACTATCTAATATCAATAATGTTGTAGTCTAGAAAAGCTAATTTTTTCTATCAAGAATTTCGCCAAACACTCTTTATAATCAACTTGGCCAAAAAATTCAAGGCAAAGAAATTTCAAATTTTTGAATAATAATATGGACCAACCCCTTTGCACAAAGTGAAAATTTCGCAACTTTTTAATATCAATGTTTTTGTAGTCAACTAAAGTTATTTTTCTACCAACAAACGTTGCCAAACACATTTTTTCGTCAAATCACAGGGTCCAGAGGAGTTTCGTGTGAACAAATAAATTACTTATTTAAAGTCTCACCTTAGAAAATGTCTATACTTGTCGCTTAGCAGGATTAATTAGCCTAATGGGATCTTTATGAATCTACTGTAAACGATTTCTTCGCTTCTTATCTGGCCCAGATCGACTTTGTTGTTCGCCATTCTGAAAATCAATAACCGCAAGCCATAGCCTCCCTGGCGCACAGCGCGTCGCCCGAAGGGCGACCGAGGCACGAAGTGCCGAGTAAAAAAAGGACAAGCTTTCCGTATTTTATACTGTAAGCCGATCTTGCGAACCCTCAGTCTCTTGGTTTGCGGTATATAGAATGTGTCACGAAACTGTAACGTGATCAAAATAACCAATTTTTTCAGAGGTTTTCGACGGGTTTTGATGTTCTAACGACAAACACATCTCCTCTGGACCTTGTGGTCAAATGGGCCGAGAAAAGTCAAGTAAAAGAATATTCAAATTTTCAACCAAAACAATGGAGTAACCTGATTACAAAGAGTGCAAATTTTTCAGCTTTATAATATCAACATTTTTGTGGTGTAGAAAAGGATTTTTGTATCAAGAATGTCGCCTAACGCTTTTCTTGATCAATTTAAAAAAGAAATCAAGGTGAAGAAACTTCAAATTTGTCACCAAAATCATGGACTAACCACTTTGCAAAGAATGGAAATTTTTCAACTTTCAAATATCAACGTTTTTGTAGTCTAGAAAAAGTTTTTTTGTATCAAGAATGGCACCAAATACACTTTTTGATCAATTTAAAAGAGAAATATCAAGGTGAAGAAACTTCAAATTTTTGACCAAAATCATGGACTAACTTCTTTGCAAGAAATGAAATTTTTCACCTTTCAAAAAATCAAGGTATTTTAGGGTAAAAAAGGTTTTTTAGTATAAAGAATGTCGCTAAACATTCTTTTTATCAATTTGGACTAAAAAAAAGGTGAGAAAACTTTAAATTTTTGACCAAAATTATTGACTAACCCCTTTGCAAAAAATTGAAATTTTGCAACTTGCTAATATCAATGTTTTTGTATACTAGGAAAAGATTTTTTGTATCACGAATGCCGCCAAACACTCTTTTGATCCATTTGGCGTAGAAGAACGAAAGATAAAAAAACATGAAATTTTCGACTAAAAAATCATGGACTAATGCCTTTGC